ATTCATATGTGATAAAATGGTGGATAAGATGGGAAAAATATCAAACTAAAAGCTGAAACCAGAACTAAAAATGGTTTTGAATAGAATGACAGAAGTGGTAATCACAAAATTGCTTGAATGGGCATGAGTTAGCATCAGTTTCGATTTCAAAAAATAAGCAACTAGTTTAAGACTTAAGCAGATATATTGCTCAAGTGTAAGAGTGTACATATACAGGAAGAAAAAAGCAGACATGGGTGGACAAAACTAACCGCCTTTGCAAACTCAATTCTAAGTGCATTGCCCGCAAGAATGAAACCTTGAAGTGCTCCAAATGCTGCAAAAGCTGCACTGGCTTCAATGAAATTGATGAAGGCGTAGCTACGACCAGGTGAAAAAGCTACACTCTCAAGCTCCCCAAATTGTCTAAAGTGATTGCTCAATGCACGTTCAGTTAAGGTATGAGATAGATTCCCAACCCACAGGTGTCTTGAAGGAGGAACAGTGTTTCTTCCATGATGAATTTTCTCTTCTGGTCTCAAAGGGTATTCCTTCCACTGTCTCTCTCGTCCCCCTCTAGAGCTCTGAAAAACAAAACCTCATATCAGTTATTTTGCATTTCGCCATTTTAGAGGAGACAGCTACTCTATATTTTCCGGATCTTATATCGATTAATGAAACCATCGTCCTTGATCTTCTTTTAAAAACGGAAAAGCTGTACACCGGCAATTCGGATCAGAAACAGCAGAAACTTTAAATTAACCCAAATCAGATCGCATTCACGAGAGTCGAGAGATTCATTCATGGAAAAATACACATGAAACAATTAAAATTCAGAATGGAATATATATAAACAAGAAACAAATCAACGTTGCTGTTATCTGTAAACGAAAAACAGTAAATAGAGTGAATCGTAAAAGTGCGAGAACAAACCATTATCGTTCGAATTCGATAAACGTCCTACTACATTCAAAGCCTTTGCCAAAGAAAATCGCGATAAGGTACGACTGATTTAGCCAAAATCACGATAGATAACTGGCAGGAGAGAAGATATGGTGACGTGTTTGTGTTAGGGTTTGATATTGCTGAGCACTACCAGAACAATTGACAGCCCCAAAGTCGATATTTATTTTGTCAGGAGCGATCGTAGCCGTTTCTTAATTCTTATATGCCCTTCAAAGTTGTATTCATCATACCCCCTATACTAATTTGAGTTTATAACTTTTGCCCCAAATGTTTCAGTCTTATTTTTATGATAAACTATTGAGAGAGCTGCAAATTTGGTCCCTCTGGTTTCAAAATTGAAAATTCCCTCCTTTTCAACAAGTTTCATTGTTGTTTTGCTCCCTCGCCAAAAACTGACCAACACATCCTTATGATACTTTTGTATACTTTTTCTATTTAATTTAAAATTTTATTATATAAAAAACAATGGGACCCACACCACCCGCCTCCTCTTATTATTTGTAAAATACGGGTCATTCAGCATTCTTCAATCACTTCCACCACTGCAAATACTTCTTGCCACTATAATTTATACTTCTTGCCAATGTAATTTCTACTCGATGCCTATAAACTCCAACGAATCAACACAAAGACCACCTAAATTTAGAAATCAAACTCATCGTATAGAAAGACAACGAGGATAAGAAAGTTGTTATGGCTATGACGTTTGAAATCTTTATAGGGTTTGAAGAGAAAATAATAATGTCGGACCAACTAAGTGGCTTCGCACCATGTACCTTGGACAATGGTATTGAATGATACGGAGATCCTTGTTAGTTTAATCGATTTGGTGGATGTGATTGATGAGAGATAGAGAGGAGGAAGGTCATGCTAGACCATTTGAGGGAAGGGTGAAGGGTTAGACAAATGTATTTTGTTTTGTTTTGAAATATGTAATTTTGGTTCGAGTATTTAATATATAAATTTGTTATTGTGTTATGCTTCGAATCACCGTAAAATATCTTATCTTTCATGTTTTAAATCACCGTCAAAGGCTCATTCGGAATCTTCGAATGAGTTCTAACGACCAAATCAAATATAAAGGTCAATGATTTACCTAGGATTTGAAGAGTTTTCTATCTAAAAGCTACTTCGTGAATCGTTTTGAAAAAAAAACGTTTCAACCATCCTAAAACTTACTTCTTGAATCCTTTCAATAAAGAGAGGCAAGATAAGGGGAGGTAGGCGGTGTGGATATTTTTTAATCGACAATGAGGAGGTGGCGATGGTGAGAAGGAAAAATGAGGAGAGGTGGAAGATGTTCGCTTCGGCAATGACATGGAAAAGACAAAAGGTCAAGGTGGAAAATATAAAATGTCAATGTGAGAGGGTTAAAACCAAAGAAGTTGACGACCATGTCAGCCATTAAGACAAATCAAGTGTTATTTGCTAACGTGGTAGCCATGTGGCATGGTAACCGACTATAGAGTTCAAAACCTAGTAAATGACACACACACACACACACACACATATATATATATATATATATATATATATATATATATATATATATATAGTTTAGGTTCTATGGAAAACAAAAAACCATAAAAATCATAAAAATGCATAAACAAAATACTTGGAGATCACAAAACTCTTTTTGAATTTTTTTTATTAATAATCGCAGTTTTTTCTTAAAATTCGCTGAAAAAAAAAAAATTTAAAAATCAACTTTTTTTTCAAAATTTTTTTCAGCAAATTTGTATAGAAAGCTGCGATTTCTTCAAAAAAAATTCAAAATTTTTTTTTGTGATCTCTAAGTATTTTTTTTATGCATTTTTATGATTTTTAGGATTTTTTTTGTTTTCCAAATAACCCTTCCCTATATATATATATATATATATATATATATATATATATATATATATATATATATATATATATATATATATATAGAGAGAGAGAGAGAGAGAGAGAGAATTAAAGGGTTATAACACACCAAAAATTAATTTTAGGATGAAACCTTACATTTTAAATTTTTTTAAATGTTTTAATGTGATTTTCCTTAAAGTTAATATATACCTTTTTATATTTTAGGTTGCTTCAAGTAGAATTGCAACACTCTTGCTTTCTGGTTGTGGGACAACGCATTCAAGATTTCATATACTAATCAACTTGAATGAAGATTCGTTTTGTTCTATCACGCCAAACATCGATCTTGCTTCACTATTGAACAAAGCGAGACTTGTCATTTGGGATGAAGCTCCAATGATGCACTTGTTTTGAAGCATTTGATAGGACACTTAGAGATATTATACATTCATTAAACAAGTATAAACCGTTTGGGGCAATACGATTGTATTTGGAGGTGACTTTAGACAAATTCTTCCAGTAATACAAAAAGGTAATTGTTCAGATATTGTACAAGCATCATTGCATTCATCCAGATTATGGCGTACAATTTTACGTTTAACTGTAAACATGAGGCTTCAGGTTGGTTGTCCAAGTAATGATTTGGATGAGACAAAAGGATTTGCTAAATGGATTTTTAAAATTGGTAAATGTAATATTGATGGTCCTAATGATGGTGAAGTTGAATTTAATTTCCAGATGACGTTATCGTTCGCTCTACAGGTGACCATATTCATTCCATTATATCCACAATTTTTATCCATCTTTTGAAAACCATCTTGATAATTCATCATATTTTCAAGATAAAGCTATTTTGGTCCCAACAAATAAAGAAGTTGATGTTATCAATGACTATATGTTAGGATTGATGAAAGATAAAGGGAAAATGTATCTGAGTTTAGATTCTTTATGTGAGACAGAGTCAACAAATTGTTTTGAGAAATTAGTTTACTTTCCAAATGTATTGAATGCTTTTAAGGCATGTAGAATTCCCAACTATAAACTTACATTAAAAACATGTGTTCCGGTCATGTTACTTCGTAATATCGACCAAACCAAAGGTCTATGCAATGACACTAGGTTACTGATTGTTAGGCTTGGAAAATATGTTATTGAACCCCGAATAATAGCTTATAGATTCTTCAATGAGACTACTTGTATACCTCGCATGAAGTTAACTCCGATTGATAAAAGAATTGCCTTCCATTTTCGCCGGAGGCAATTCCCCATAGTTGTTTGTTTTGCTATGACCATTAACAAAAGTCAAGGACAGTCATTATCAAATGTTGGACTATACTTACATTGACACGTCTTCACTCATGGTCAGTTATATGTAGTGGTTTCTTGCGTCACAAGTAAAAAAAGGATTGAAGGTACTCATATGTGATGAGGAATGTCGTTCAACTAATAAAACAAAAAATATTGTTTACAAAAAGGTCTTTCAAAGATTATAGATATTCTGACATTTCATTTTATATTTTAGAGATTTCAATATTACCAATAACGTGAAGTCTGGTTTTGTAACTTTATCTTTTTTTTTTCAATTATTGTGTCAAATTTTTATAATTTTATATGTGTTCTTATAATTTTATATTTATGTGAGTCATAATCTAGTTATTTGTATTTTAGAGAATTCCATAATAGTTTCTATTGGTTGCACAAGCCACAAGCAGTTAGTAAATCATAGTTGATAATGGATAAAAACGAGATTGAACTATAGATATCTTTTTGAATTTTATAAAATACTTTAAATTTGATTATAAAAATTATAGTATTATGATAGTAATTAGATCTTTTAAATAAAACAATTTTGGATATTATATATATAAAATACACATTGGACATCTTTCAATTCATAAAACTCAATAGATTTTTTTTCTAACCTACCGATATTAAGTGTTGATTGAAAGATGTCCTTCAACTACACAAGTTGAGGGTTCAAGCCTTAGTTGGAACGATATGTGTAGCATATGAGTAGAGTAGAGGGTATGTGTGTATCATTTAAAAAAACATAATTTTTGCATAGGTTACTTAACAATGATTTTAATTTTATTTTTCTCAAATTTAATGGTCATGTGAATTTTGAATTTCTGAGGGTTCTTTTTTTAGTTTTTGCCACGGCCCAAAATATATTTGGACTAACCCTAATGAAAAATAACCATGTCAAACCCCGGATAATTACATCATAATGTTGTATAAGCGAAGATGTACCCACTAAAAACATTTCAAAAAGATGTTTTTAACACTAAAATCATTACATTAAGTATACTATCATAGAGCTCAAACATGAAACCAAACTCTACATTTAGCTTAAGTCAAACCAAGTTCGTGGAAAAACTTCATGATTCATCAATGGAGTTCCAAAGCATTATTCTTCACATATTGAATATTGGATGTGATTCTGTAATCCTACAACTACGGATATTGAGGGTTATCTTCTGCAAATCCAACCAGAATAGTTTAGTCAAAACTCCAAAGGCATTTACAACTAAACAAAAACAGGTTATACTGTGTTTGTCATGATGTCAATGGGACAAAAGTTGTAAATATTTGTCCCACCCAAAAAGGTGAAACAAGGTGGGACAAGGACTCGGTATGTAAAAAAGACACAAATGCCCTCCTCCTCATACTCATCATCAAAAACAATCCTAAGTGGCATAAAGATACAAAGAGGAGTGACAACTCACGTATAGATACAGGATCTATATGTACAAAGAAACTTGCAGCAACAATCATATAACAAAACAACAACATTAGTCCCTTGAAGTAATTCGATGTTCCCTCCTGCATATTTTATAAAAAAAATGTGCAAAATTTGAGTCGATTTGTACAAAAATTTAAAGGCCAAGAGTTCAACTACTCTTGTCCCATGAAATAACTAGTCGCACATGTTCCATAAAAACTAAAAATGTTGTAATTTTCATGGGGCGAAAGCGAACAATGTTTTTATTTTATTTTAAGAATGAGTTGGAAATGAAAAAGTCAAAGTCAACAAAAAAGTCAAACCTGTAACATGAAGGCTACTACTAGAACAGTCATAAAAAGAATTGATGTCTCAAAAAGTTGAAAATTTAGCTCCATTGGACTTCCAATCATCCACCCTATTACCACACAAAATGGCATCTGCAAATACACAACAAAATATCTAATTCTAAAATTAAATAATAAATATACTAAAATCTCAATAGATTTACCAAAAAAAATATGTCAATAATAATAAATATTACCTACCACAAACATTGATATTTGTGTTGAAGAGCCAATTGCCACTCCTAAAGATATATCCTGCACAAATAGTAAAGAAGTAAAAATATAGTTTTTTTTTTTTTTTTTTTTATTACAAATTTGCCCTTGTGAGATTTGTACTTACTAGTTTATCTTTAATTGCAAACATAATGGCACTTGCATGTTCAGCTGCATTTCCAACAACAGGAAGCAACACAACACCAATGAATGCAACTGGAACATCCATGGCAACAGATGCACCCTACCACACACAATCATTTCCATTTCCAATTTCCAACAAAAGCTACACACCACCAAACATGTAAATCAATCCAACAAAAATCAAAGTCAAAGTCAAAGTCAAACCTCTATGGCATTGACCAAGTACTCTGAAAGAACCGAAATGAAAAGAGTCAAAAGTCCAAGCCATATAACTGATTCCCACTTTGAAATCTCTGCAGATTCTTCATCATCCTGTCTCCCATCCTATTTTTTTTTTCAATTATTATCAGAAAAACATCAGCAATTTTTATTGTAAATTGTTTTAAATATTCAACAGGGTCATTACTCATTAGTCATTACCTCTTTGATGGATGAATAATCTTGTTTTTGATTTGTGAGCTGAAAAAATATGTAGATTGCATATGCTATGAGCATTATGCAACTACAAAACCTTGAAAGGAGTAATTCTGAAGTCCCGATTTGTAATTCGGTTTGTGTTTCATGGAGAAGAGCTGGAAAAAGTAATCCCATCACTGCCATTAACAGCAATCCCATGTTCATTCCAGCATTTGACTGACAGTAAGGGTAAAATGGTCATTTAGTATAAGAGTGTTTCTTTTTGACTTGATGCTGAAAGAACGACTACATAAAGAACGTCAGGAAAATGAGGCTTTTCCGGTAAAGTCCCTGACTTTTTTACAGATTTGCTAACATTTAGACGAAGGGTAAAATGGTCATTTAGCTTCACTCAAACAGTAAACTATGTCTGAGTGTTTCTTTTTGACTTAATAGAGAAAGTCAGAAAAATGAGACTTTCCAAGTTTAAGTCCTTAACTTTTTACAAAATTTTCCTTCATTTAGACGAAGGGTAAAATGGTCATTTAGTAGTATATGAGTGTTTTTTTTTTACATAATGCTGAAAGAACGAGTTAACATAGAAAGTCATGAAAATGAGACTTTTCTCATTAAGTCCCTAACTTTTTACAGCTTTGATAACATGTAGACGAAGGGTAAAAAGGTCATTTAGTCTCATTCAGACATTAAGCTATATATGAGTTTCTTTTTAACTTGATATAGAAAGAATGACCTAATAGAGAATGTCAGGAAAGTTAAAACTTTCCTGTAACTTTTTACACATTAACCTTCATTTAGACAAAGGGTAAAATGGTCATTTAGCCTCATTCATATGGTAAAATATACATGGATGTTTCTTAGCTACTTAATAGAGAAAATAAACGACTTGATAGAGAAAGTCATAGAAATGTGATTTTCTCAAGTATGCTGTCATTTTCTCATATATTTCTTACATATCATTGATCAATATATCATTTTTATCAAGATAAAACTTATCGAAACAAAAAATATATATATAAAGTAATTGGGCCTAACCTTGTTAAATATCTGTTCCTTATTCCGATGAACAATTCCACCACTAAAAAGAGCACATCCAAGAACAAGCAACAAATTGGACAAAATTGACCCTAACAATGACTGTTGTACAAGTCGTAACATTCCTTGCTTCATTGCAAACAATGAGATTATCAACTCTGTTGCATTGCCAAAAGTCGCATTCAGAAGACTCCCAACTGTAATTTCAAATTTTTAAATACATATTCCAAATGTATGAAAAATCAAAATCAATCCATATGTTCGAAGTAGATATATAAAAAAAATGTACAAATTTGAAGAACAAACCTGTAGGTCCAGTGTAGAAAACCAGTTGTCTGCATAAAAAATGGAATTTGTGCTTTTATTGAGTTTCGGACATTAACTCAACAAAGTCAAATAGTCAATGAGAGTTTTTTACAAATAAAAATTCTTTTTTATAAACCATGTAAACCTTATTCAATATTTAATCAGAAAACTACAGAAAAAAAAAAAAGATTATAATGCTTGAAATTTTGCAGTTTAACCACTTATACCTTTCTTTCACAATCAAACCATAAAAGTTTCAGACTTTTTTCCAATTTAACCATCTTATAACAAAATTACAAGTGAAACTGAAAAAATACCCAAAAATATAATGGTTTGTTTGTAATTTCAAAATATTTAATTACATATAAGATGTAATGCATAAGTTTTGGAGATATTAATGTGTAGATAATTACTCTGTAGCCCAACCAAGACGTTCTGCTAAAGGTATGATGCCCAATAAGCTCAATAAGAACACCCAACCCTGATAATTATATTTCATATAAAAAAAAGTGAAAGTATGAACAACAAAAGAAGTATTAATAGAATATCTGAAATCTGAATATGAATATGAATAAAGTAAAGTCTTACGTGGCGTTGGGACAATTGGTCAACCAACATTGCTAATGGGCCACAAGGTAAGAGAAAACTTATTTTATCAGAGAAGAAAGCAGCTTTTATACTGGAAAACACTAATCTCCATATATAATTAGTGCCAAAATCTTCTGAGCTACTTTTAAGTGAAGATAGGTTTCTTGTTGTTGATACTGGAACTGCTCTGCTATCATCTGTTAGCTCAATTGTTGACTTTCCACCTGGTGATCCCATCTGTGAAAAGTTCTTGATGCATTACACTATGAAGATGGCTTCATTACAGTATTAATGGACATAATCCATATGATAAGATAAAAGAAAGAAGTTTGATCATCTTATAATCGATGAACATATGTATGCATCATGAAAGATGTAGCCAATTTTCATTTTTCTTGCTTGCAGGAATCAATGAGAAACTTGCAACGAAGTGAATGCTAGAATCAAAAAGGATCGATAGAATGATGATGAGAGTGAGTAAAAGTGTAAAACTTACTTCTAAACGGGAATTGAACCCTATAATCCGCAAAGTATTACTGTTCCTCATAGTTACAAGACCTAGAAGTTGGAATGTATTCGTCTTCACTCAAACCATGAACCTAATTGCTCCATCTAAAATCTAAATCCAACCAAAACCAATATACGAATAAATACAGTGAAAACGAATCAATGATTTTAGCTGAATAGTGAATACCCTCTAATATTATCTTCGTAGACATGATGGGGTTGGGGGTTCTAAGATTAAATGCGATTGTATCTGTTCTTAAAGAATTTCCCTCTTTTTCGTGTTTGCATGTCGAAACATTGAGTTTGATTGAATTACTGTAATTCGCTTTTCCTCTACCACCTTCACTAACATTGGTGTAGATAAATCGTTCCTGTTTTTTTTGCTCTTGATCGCGGTCTGTGTCTTGAATTATTTCGTGAGCAAATAGACGGGGTTAATTTTGAGCAAATTCGTTTGTTTTAATGTATTCTCAATATTTTATGGGTAATCGCCATGACATTCTTCGAAGTTCAAAATTTTGTCATCATCTAATATAAAAATATAATAAAGAAAATAAAAAAACTTAAATATCTCCATAAATTCTCAAGTAATTTGTCAATTAATATATTAAATTCAATTCAACCTTCCTGAAAAACATAATTTTCGGCTAATTCTTTTCTAATTCACGATAATTTGCAGAAACCTTGCAAAAATTGGTTTATTCACAACTAAAATTGATATTCTTTCAAAATTCATTTTTTTTTTAAATTATTAAACATGTAATGTTTATAAAAATATATTATTTAAAAAAACTCGTGTATTACACGGGTCGCACACCTAGTATGCAAATATTTTAACCTTATAAAGTTGATATAAATAGATGTTGGTTTATTTGGTTTGAATTGACAAATGTCATATCAGGCCAACAAACTTATCATATTTGTTTTAAAAGATCACTCAATTATTTTTTTTGTACTTTAAAGAAATGAAGTAGAATGTGACATGTTGAAATCGTCCTTTGACCCATTATAAGAGGTCATTGAATTATAATAATAATATAAGTCAGTTAAAAAAAATAAAAAAGAAAAAAAGAAAACTTAAACGTTATCCTAGGCATTAATCCATCTTCATATGTATGCTTTTAAGGCCTCCCACCTTCTAAGGGCATGTTTGGGTTAGCTTTTATTTTATCACAAAAATGATTTTTAAAAAAAGTGTTTATTAACTTATGACTTTTAGGAAAAATTGGTTTTAAAAAGTGTTTGGATAAGAAAAACTGTTTTTTAGGAGTAAAAATGGTTAAAAAGCTAGAATTTTCCAGCTTTTTGAAAGTTTTACTTTTTCCTATCTAAAAACCTATTTTAAAAAAGTGTTTTTTAAATACACAAACACTTTTTTAGCTTATTAGCTTTTTGAGAAGCTAAAAAGCTATTTTAAAGATTAAACAATCACTGAGCTTCTTTCCAAACAATAAACTCCAGATCCTCTTTCGACGTCACCAACATAGACAATATTAAACATTCTCCTTCGCCATTCACAATCACTGCATCCCAAAAGTTCCACAACATATTTGAGATTCGAAGACGATCGAGGCGGAGATAATGTGTTATTGTTGTTGATATGCGAGCCCTTCCTCTTCACCCCTTTGCACCTTCTCCTTGAAGATGGTGGTTGTACCGTCGATAGTGGTGTCGAATTGGTGGCAGTCGTAATTGTCGTCGATGGTGCCGCCGAATTAATGATGGCGCCGAATTTCGTTTGCTGTGAATATGGTGGCTCTTCCATTTTTAGGGCTTGTTTGATGAATACACATCCTGAGATTGGTAGGTGGTTTTTTTTGTTCTTGAGATTCAGAAAAGATGGGTGATTTCTTGGTATAACCATGTGAGCCATCATCGTCGGTTTTATTTTGTGTACTTGATCTGCTTTGACAAAAGTGGATTTGTCTCCTCGATTTCTAGTCGATTTGTACCAGAAATCTTGTTCCAACCTCGATTTCTATTATTTTATATTCAATTTCCGGAATTGCCTTGTTAAACATTCTGAATTTCATCATCAACTTCTGTTATATTTCTACATTTACTGTATTGATTTCATTGAATACGTTTCTTGATTTATCAGTTCCATTGCATTTGGCATAAGATGTAATCGGAAAACAAAGAATTGAATTGATAAGGATGTATCCAAGAATGCTAGCAAGGGTGTATTCATTAGGTTGGTTAGAAAGTTGGGACTTAATGAAGTTGATTGTAGGAAGGAATTACGTATTCCTACTTGATTCATTAGGTTGGAATAAGATGTGATCAAACGACAAAGAATTGAATTGATAACCGACTCCATTTTAGGAAGGAATTATGCATTCCTGAGAACAAGTCAATAGCTTGGTTAGAAAGTTGATACTTGATGTTTCAATGCACACATTTTACAGGCTTACCTGGTATCAGGTTAGGTCACGTAAGGATATTTTAAAATAGGAAAACAAATGTTCATTTCCCTTAATGTACAAAAAAAAAAAAGTTGGGTGACATTTTTAAAACAAACACAACAAGTTCAATGGGCTAATATAATATTTGCCCTTCAATAAACAACAAAAATGCTCATTGTTCTGGATATTATGTGCAATCTCAACCATGGTTGTCAAAATCGCGATCCTGATCGTAAGATCGTACGATGCTACGATCCTAGGTTTGAAAAACGATCCAGATCGTAAAAGGATCGTATTTGGGGTAGGATCGTAAGATCGTAGGTAGGATCGTAGGATCAAGATCCGATCCGATCCTATCTTCCCTTGATTTTTTTTTTCAAATAAATTTTTTTTACCACTTTATGTCTTTTACCCTTTACCAATCTACCATTTATCATTTTTTATTGTGACTTATAACTAATATTTTGAAGTTTTTATAACTTTTGAACGAAAAATTAAACGTTTGAAATATTTTTCATGATTAAATATTATAAATTAAAATTTATATTATATTTTGTGGGATCTTAGGATCTCGATCCCGATCTTACGATCCCAATCTTGGAGACCCAAAAACGATCCTAGGTAGGATCCCGATCTTGACAACCTTAATCTCAACATTTTCTTCAATTTCAAAGCTAAAAATGCCATGGGGTCTAGGGGTGTGCGGGTGATGTGGGCCTCCAATCGAAAATTTCGCTTAATATTATATTACTAAAGATTATATGACAAAAATAATAATACGTTAGTTAAAGTATAGTTACATGCTATTAATCTATTTAGATATCAATATAAAAGACATTACATATGCACGACAATAAAGGTTTGAATCTCATCTCAATTTTTAAAATTATATTTGAGCTTCAGGGCCAAATTAAGTATACCACAAGGAAAACATATTAACATTACAAATTCACGTTTGAGTGGAACACTATCAAGATTTCAATATTGTGGCTACAACAAGAGTTAAAGTCAATAGAGAACAACACTCACATTCTATCACACTCACAATTCACATTTAACTGTCAGTTCAATTGATAATTACAATTGAAAAAATTCGAACGGTGAACCTATGTAATTTTACATAGAACAAATAATACAAATAAGATAGTATAATATTTAGTTTGATTGATATAAGATATGTACAGTTTGTCTACATGCATTAATTATGTTCATTTTATTAACAATATGTAATGTTAATTTAGTAACATTGATTTTTTTAAAAAGGATGTATCCAACTTGAAAACTTGAATCAGATTGTTCTAAATGTTAAAAAAAAAAAAAAAAAAAAAAAAAAAAAAAAAAAAAAACTAATTTTCATGGTATGAGAGGAGGTGTCAATAGATTTATTATCAAAAACAAGTTGTATTTGATTGTAATGATGAATTAGTTGCTCATCTATTCGGAGATAATACTTTCATTTTTTATAACGTTCAATCGAATAAGGAAGAACATAGAGAATGGGTAATAGTCAATGTGGATGAAGTTGTGGAAGAATCTAAAGAAGAATAACTTGGATTGTGATTGCAAGAAAATATCTCTTATGTAGATGAAAAATTGTGACGACAAAGAAGATATTCTAGTGAACATCTATGATCCTACTTGATACTACACGGAGAGATGTAGTTGTGGAAAATAGTCCTATAAAAGATATGTTAATAGGCAAATGTAGAAGAATCATTATAGAGACGGCCTTGTGTACTCTAAGGATCTTGATAAACTATTTTGTATTTTTTTTCTGCTGCCTTAATAATAAAAAACAAGTAAGTAATCTAGCACATGAGGGGATAAAACAATTGTGAACATCTTACTCATAGTTTGAATGTAACACTCAAATTTCAAGACAAATTTTTCATTTTTATTTCACCAAACATTATTCATAAATCCAAGTCATCACAGAATTATAAATCATTATCAAAACAATATCATAGTATCCCAAAATCCACAAGACATCATAAGCTGACGAATGAGTACAATCATGCCTCTACCTTCCCGGAATCTACAAAAGTACCTGAAATACATTTAAATCAACATTGTAAGCACGAAGCTTAGTGAGTTCCTCAAAATACCTTATACACAAATAATTAGCCTCTCATGGCTATATCTCGATAAGGACCCTCTGGTCATGTGTCTTAGTGAGAACCCTCCGGTCTCACGTCTTGGTATGGACCCTCCGGTCATAACTCAATATATACACACAATAATATAACAGCATAAGTCACAAAGACAGAATGCATAATAACACATATCTCAGTATAAGCACATAAGACCCTCCGGTCAATAATACGAATAAGACCCTTCGGTCAATAACACGAATAAGACCCTCCGGTCACACATAAATTACTACACAGGTAAGTATAGTGAGAAGATTCACCTTAGTCAAAGGATAGCAAATCCTACACTCGTGTCCGCTGCACAACGACTCCACATACTGAGCCAAACAAGATCATTCCCATATAACATTCAGGGTTATACCCAAAGCACAAGGCCCAATCTAAACAAGCCCATTAAGGCCCAAACCCAAACTAGGCCCACTAAGGCCCAACTCAATAACTCCATAGGCCCAACAGGGCAACCCAACCAAAACAGCAAAGCCCAACCTCAAAAACAAATCTAAGTCCAAAGCCCACAGCTCCACTGATAAGACGAACGCGCGGCGTTCGTCGCCGAATCGCTTGACTGGGACTCAGGCCGGAACGCGCTGTGTTCCCAAAGATTATGCACGACGTTCCCGACAAAATTCCAATTCTTATTCTAATGACTTATTCCATTAAGTCCAACATCCAACACCTCAGAATAATCACATAATAATGAATTAATCGATAAAGTTGAAGGCTTTAAGCCTTAGCATGGCTCAAAGGGGCCCAAACACGATTTCAAGCACTCTAACTCCATAAAGAGGCCAATAACTCACATTTAGTCCTTAACTCCTTAAGTCCTTTCACCCAACACTTAGATCTGGTCCAAGAAGGCATTTTTCAACATAAAGTTCCCAACTTTATGCCTTGACATGGCTAAATGTGCTCAAACCCAAACCCTAACTTTTAACACAAAAACCCAAACTTCATAATCCTTTGCATGGATGGAAGGAATGGACCAAGATCACATTTTTATGGATTAGAACGCTCAAAAACCTCAAAAAGGACAACTCAAATGGTCTAGAGTAGTCCATACTCATAAAGACCAAAGCTTTGGGACAAAAAGTACATAAAACCCAAAACTAGCTAGATCAAACACATGATTCATCAAGATAGAAACTTTATACCTCTAGCAGCTTGCAAAGTTGATGAAGGTTCTGGATCTAGAAGCTTTACTCCAATAATAGCTTGATCACCAAGTTCCTTCTTCTTCAAGGGCCAAAACATAACAAATCATACCCCAACTAGATCCACATGAGAAAGCCACCAAGATTCAAACTTTATACTTTTTGGAGCTAGATCAATATGATTAGGGCTTGGATCCACAAGCTCCAAGCCAAGCAATGCTTCCTCAAGAAACTCCTTCTTCCACAATAAGCACCAAAAACCCACTAAATCACCAAAAAGCTCAAGAATCACTCAAATGGAGGCTAGGGTTTCGTTCTTAGGGTTAGAGAGGATGGAGGTTGAAGAATGGAATAGGTTTGGGGTCCATAATGATGCTTATAAATGGGCCAAACCCTACAAACGAGTATTTGATGCAGCTCAGAAAACGCCCAGCGTTCCCTTGGGGAATGCCTAACGTTCCCATCTTGGCCCACGTCACTTTTCCATTGAACGCCATGCGTTCCCATCTGGTACGCCTCGCGTACCCGGTTCTGCCTAAAACCTTCCTAACTTTAAATGGTCATAGCTTCTTTGTTATAACTCCGTTTTTTACGTTCTTTATATCCACGTAAAGGTAACGAGAAGCCCTACACTTTTATCAACTTTATTTTTCCTAAAACCCACTCGAACTCAGATCCAAAATTCATGAAAGGCCCGAACCAACGCCTTTACGATACCCTTGGGCTTTAAAGCACAGACCGAACTCTTTTATCACACAACCTACCTTATCCGCATCCAAAAGGGTCTAAACATTTCTTCTTTAAAGCTTCAAAACCTTCTCATACCCGAATTACGGCCCACGAGCCTTAAATCACAGAACGATCCGAAACAGGATGTTATAATTCTCCCCAACTTAAATTAGATTTTATCCTCGAAATCGCTCCTTTCGACTTCTTCTGCCACACCAGTCGATCTTGACTGAAACCCAAAAGAAACAGAGGGGTCATCTCGCACCGAAGACCACCCACCGATACTACTATCAAAACCCATCTGAAGAATGAACCTTAATACTCTTCCCTCTGTCATCAAAAGAATAACCTGCCGATCAACCTAGGAGCTGAAACTCTACACTATGTCTGACCTCCAGACAGACAGAACCATTCTAATACCAAACCCAG